AGAAAGTCAAAGGCCAGCTTTTCGGTACGAACATTTGAAAATATAGCGGACTATTTTGTACCTTCTTGCCTTCGAAAGCTCTCTGCCTTTTCACTATAAAAAATCCGCGTTTCCAAAAGCGCGTCACCGGCGCCAAACTGACGTCAGCAGAGCCCAGCTCACGCATTGGACACGATAACTGCATCACTCTGACGTATGCGCTCGTCAACAATCAATCCGTCGACGAATATTTGGATTCGCGTTCGTGGCCAATGAGTGCCCTGACGAAACTTATTGTCACTGGGGAATGACAAGTTCTATGGTGGGCATAAAAAACACGGTGGAAGCTAGGAGTCATCGCACCGGTGCCGAAGGAATGTCACGACCACGTGATTTCACAATTTGCATTTGAGTTGAGGATTAAATCTAAGGAGGAAGAAGTAGAAAAGTCGTTTCATGACCCTTGAACGAGAGCTCCCGCAGCGGAGGCCCCATCACATACGCTAGGCTATGAAGCCGACAACGCTGAAATTGACGGATTAAGGGCTTTTATAAACATGGTGCTTCTTTCTTTGTTTATTTTTTGTTCAATATTATAAGCTTCTTATCATAACCCCCTCCCCGTATTCTATACGGACTAGTTGTATGGTTTCCTAAATACATTATCGGGTATATTTGATGATCTTTTCAACAGGATAATAGTGTCTCAGAACGCTCGAATTCATTAAGCATGCAAACGAAACGTATTGTAAGGATAAACGTTTTTTGGTGAGTACACCCCAAATACGATAAAAGAATTCCGGCCAAATTATGTGCGTAAGTGTAAGTAAAACCTCACGATCTTATGTATTTGTTTGCTCTGAAGTAGGAGAACAAAAGAAAGCTCTATCTCGGCGATGCAGTTTTCAATCTCCAATAAAACATGGATTACTATAACAGTGAGGGGAAAACAACCAGTAAACTAATTGTCCCTCAGCTTTGCACGCGTTGCATTCTTTAAAGGGACACTGACAAGGTATTTATGCTCGCCGATGCTTTTAGTTGTGCATGATATATGAAAGCCCATGTGCTCAGAATAGAATTTTCGGCTCGAAATTCGGTATCTTTCCACCCGAAAACCGCCGATCGAGAACTGGCCGGTTCGAGTCGCGCTCAGACTCTTCTCAGAAATCACGGGCCGTTTTCTAAGGTTTAGACACAACCACCAAATCTAATCAAAGTCGTGGGTCATTGAAGGCACACACTCAATATTAAAAATAGAAACAAAAATATGAAACCCATTTTTTGTGGCTACCAAAAAAAAAAAAAAAAACTGCAAATACGTTGATTAAAAAAAAAAAAGAAGATGCACAGAGAACCCGAAGCGTTTACTGCGTAATTCTTAACATGGCGTCGTATCGCGTGTCGTGGGACTCGTGGGCTGGACGGCGATGGCAGCGGACGATGGGCGTCGGACCTCTGCTTCAGAACTGTCTTTTACGGTACCGGCGAATCTGTTCCGAAATTTCGGACCGATCAAAAGAATTGGAATTCATTCTGTACGACACGCCCGACAAGCAAGCCAATTTGCACGAAGATGTCGCCGAGCCGTCCCTTCTTCTCGTGGCTGAAGACATCGCTCGCGCAAACGTCAAGCACGAAGTGCGTACTTATGCACGCGTACGATTTCTTTACTATGTGCGAATATGGCCAGTGCGTGCTGCTGCCCGACTTCGAGCCTAGGGAGTGCCTTTGCCTGAGAGAAATCAACAGCAAACTTTTCGACCTACAGTTGACCGGCAGGATTACTACGAACAAATGAGTTCCTCCATTAGCCTAGTAGAATGGTGTCCGTTTCACACGCAACGGACTCGGGTTCTATCCAGACTGTGGGCGTACTGTTTTTTTTTTTTTTTTTTTTGTCAACAATTTTGCGATTTACACATTTTTTTACAATTATTATTAAAAAAAACAAAAAGAAAAAAAAAAACGTGGACGAAATGTCGCTGAACTAAATGGTATGGGATTCCCTTTCCGACACTTGCGAACTCAATGTAGTCTCTTCCCACAAGATGCAAGGAGCATATATAAATCGGGTAGCGTCCGCTTTCCGAGGTGCCCATAACTGTTCTGCAGGAATTGCAGCCAGCCATTAGTCCCCGATCCCGTTGATCTTTCGGAAACGTGTGCATACTCTGCTGCACAATGCCACTTTCGGGTACAGGACCTGTGAGGCAGTACTTCACGCAACATCTTGGGGGCATTCTTTTCGGAGCCGATCACAGGCATCCACCACGTGCACTCACCACCACTCACCACTCAAAACAACTCATCTTGAAGCGCAGAACAGCGAGCGGAACAAGCGGAACTGCAAAGCAATCGCACGGCAAACGGTTCCCACAACGCATGTTGTCTGCTGCGCGCGGCACAAGAAAACAAAAAACACAAAAAAAAAAAAAAAACCCGCACAGTTGGGTGTAACTATGCAATTTTTGGTACCTTCTTCTCTATATTTCTCCGACCTCCATGCGCAGGTTTCGGTTGCGGTTTCGAGCAGTTGTGTTTCGAGGCTTTTTTTAAAAAAGTAGACGTGACTCTGTAGCAAAATATTAATTGGATGGTCTTCTGAAACCATATTAAATCACATTGCAAAAAAAAAAAAAATATATATATATATATATTTCTTTTTGGCGGGGAGAGGGGGGGGGGGGGGGGTGTTTGTGTCTCTTCAAGCTTACCGGGAATTTTAGGTGCGTTATTCACAAGGTGCAGATAAGCTCCTGGCTATTTCGAAGACGATGGCGTCTGGTGGTTAGAATACGAAACAGGCCACATTTCTGGCCAGTGTGCGCACGAGTTAATCTGAATCATAGCACAACGTTGTAGAAGCATGTTCGAAAGCACAGAAAGTCGCTATTACCACGAAGCCGATCATCGGAGCTGCAGGGATATTGTTCTTTATAAATACTCTGTCTTTCTCTCTTAAGGACTTTCATACTTCGTTCTACTTCATGATGGACCACAGCGAACCCTGCGAACCGTCGCAGCCAATCCAGCGTTGCAGATGCCTCCAGTGACTACGCGCTGCTGGCGTCGCAGCGTTCCTGATGGTTCCTGCAACGCGTCTCCGACTGGTGCGTTCAGTGTCTTATTCCGCCCATGAATCGAAAGTGGTCCCGGAGTGGCAACCAGGGCCGTACCCAGAAAAAACTTTCGGAAAGGGGGGGGGGTTTCGGGGACAACGGCGGCCATTTTGTCTTATTTTCGCCTATGAATCATGTGCATCGGTGGCATATAATGGAGAGTTATAGCAAACCGAAGAACCGGTCCCGGTTTGGTACCCGGTAGCCGACCGGTGCCACTGCGCGTGCGCAGAGGTGGAGATTAAAATCGGCTGGCTGCAAGTGCACCGACCCGGGCCGTACCCAGAAAACAATTTCGGGGGAAGGGGGGGGGGGGGGGGGGGGGTCAGAACCCCCTAACCCCCCCCCCCCCCCCCCCTGGTTACGGCCCTGGTGGCAACACATTACGTCATAAAAGCCGGAGTGTCAAGCTGTAAGATGTCACAATCCTAATGATCGGCCATAGAAGTTTAGGCAAAAAGCACGAAGCAAACGCGAGTATCGCTATCGTCGCGGCGTCCCAACTCCTGGCTGCCGAAGCTTCCGTGGTCTGCCAACCCTGGAGAGCGACCTGCAGCAGAGCAGGCGTTTGCTACATCCACCGCAGCTGCTGGGACACCGCCAGGATCGCGACCGGCGACAGAATGACACTTCAACTACGTCAAGAGGCGGATAACTCGAAGGACCACTTTTTTGGACGCGGTAAACACACCAGTCGGAGACGCATTTCAGACACCGTCCTCCCAGTAGCGTTGGTACTCCATAAGGTGACCCGGCACTGGATTGGCTTCGATGGTTCGTAGTAACCTCTGCGTCCATTGTAATGTGAAACGAAGCAGAAGGTTCGCACCGACACCTTAAAGTTACAGTAACTGTCAACGGACTATTAACAGGGGTACTCCGGCGATTTTTTGAGCTACCCCAAGTAAGTATATTTTCTGACTCCCGGCCTTTACCCTTTCAGGTATACTATTTAGTATTGCGAAATTCATAATAGTTATTGCGAAATCGGCAAATGAAAATGATGCAAAAACCAACATTCAAATATTCCCGCACTTTTCAGTGCCGTGACGTCAGTGGCGGGCAGGCTTGCCAGTCGAGCGCGCAGGGGTCCATATCACAAGAGCGAATGACATTTTAGCGAACGGCGACATTTGAGCGAATGGTCGTTTTAGCGAATAACGGGGGCGCGCGTTAACCCATCCGTCGCGCTGCGCTTTACGCCGCTTCGCGGCGACAGTCTGCGGCAACTCATTACAAAAATGTGAACCCATTTGGCCCACCCGAAAACGCCGCTTCGCGGCGTCCGACTATTCGCTAAAGTGTCGTTCGATGAAACGTGGGCGTTCGCTAAAACGTCATTCGATCAAGTGAGTGCCTCCCAGCGCGCAGTCTAAAGAATAGAATATGCCAATCATTTGTTCCGTGCTGGAGCGTGGGGACTGGAGCGAGCTTCCAAAACGTTCATTTGACACCATGAAACTGCTTCGAATCAGTTGGGAACAAATTCTACAGTCCAAAGAGTGAACCCCTGCACTTCCACTGACGTCACTTTTTCGTTGTTGCCAGTAGAGACTTTCAGTTTGAAAAACACGGTGAGGACCAAAATTGTAAATTCAATAACTTCTCGAAAAAAATTATTTTGACCTAATATTTGGGATACTACTTTGGCGATGTTGTTTGGCGAGTTTAGCAAAATTTCAAGCAAATCGGGGACCATGAAGAAATCGCCGGAGTACCCTTGTGACAGCGGCTTTCCACTTCCAAGACCCTACTTATAGCTCAAACTGTGAAAACCGGACACAATACGCGGAATATAAGACGGTCTTTCCTTTTTCCAAGTGAAACATCACGAACCCCCCGCAGATCGTTCTCAAGCGAATCAAAAAGGAGCAATACTACGTAGCGGTATTCTGTTACCCGAACCGAAGAATTTTCCACCGCCGGTGGCAGCTGGAAAATAGACGCTGCTCCGAATGACAGTACACCTTCCACTGGCCGCCAAAAGGATGAACGTGCTGATACCGCTCCACGGTGACGTGACGGCAGTAACGGCACAAACTCTTCTCTGCCTTGAGTTGCGGGAGTTTGCACTTGTCAACTCTTGGTAGCCACGCAGGAAAAAAGCCGCGCGACAACTTCGAGACGTCGAAGAACGCCCTTCATGGGGTTTGAACCTCGAGCTCCTTTGCATCACAACCTCCACGCTCGACTAGGTGGGCCCGGATGTGCCGTGACTTTACGTCAGTAAGCCCTTCTCTCCCCTTCGTAGCGGTGTAGGGTAGCGGTAGAGAAGGTCCTCGAACCAACGAACCAGCCCACAAGCGAACGGGCAGCGCAAAATGTAGTACCTATGGCCCGCAAACATTCGCGCTAACTCACTTCCTCGCCGTAGTGGGGGCGCCATCGAGGGACTGTATCAGGAAACAAACGAAAGCTTCAGTGGAGATGGCGCAGACGGGGAGCAGAGGTTTCTCCTGTTAGCACTAGATGGCGCCACCATGTCAATCAATTCCTCAGGATTGGAGGGGTTTCAGGGTACTTTAGTAGTTTTGTCGGTTTTGTTCCCAAGAAGGGTGGTGAATGGGCGGAACTCCGGAGGCTCGGTTTCGGACTGTTTCGGAAGCTTACGAATATTTTTGGATGAAAATCGGTTGTTCGGAGGTTCGGCAGTTTCTTTGGTATATAGCCAACATGGCGTCGATCCTTTTGGTTTTTAAAGCAAAAGCATTAACTGTTCCATGGAGCGAAGTTGGCGTAGTCTGTAGCAGCAAAAAATGGCGCCTAAATACCGTCTGTAGCAGCGAAAAACGGCAACTCAATTCCCATTGGCTGAACGAAACGGCATCTAAAGCCCTATTGGCCAAGAGCACAGCAACGCAGATGCTTCGTCACGGTAGCCGGTGGGGCGCTCAAGGCCCAAAGCGGACGCGCCTCAGAAATAAAACACAAAGCACAGCAAAACATGCGTCGTCACGGAAGCCGTGGAGCCGGCGCGGGTGCCGCGCCTGCGCAGTGGGGAAGCTTGATGTCACCGCCGGAGCGCTGTGTGAAAAAGGATGACGTGGTGCCCTGCTTGTAGGAATCAGGGCCTGATTAAGGTGCGGGCTAAAGGGGCTGCAACCGCGGGCCCCGACTCTCTGGCGGCCCCCAGCTGCGCATGGGGGCCGCCAGAGAGTCGGGGCCCGCATGTGCAGCCCCATATAAAAAAAAAAAAAAAAAACGATACTTAAAATTATTTTGGGAAGCGATGCATTTCTGCTTGCGCGCACAAAAATACAACACAATTATACGTAAATGGTCAGAACAATAGCAAGTCATACTAACTAATTCAAAAATAAAGTAATCCAGCGGTCTGTGCATGTATAGATACTTTTATATTCCTGCAATACAACAATAAAACGCCAAAATTAGCTATGCTCGTAATCGAAAAAAAAAAAAAAGCGTGTAAATAAAATTGCAAGCGCGAAATATTTAGCATCGGAATTTACTAAATAACCATCGCTTATCTCCACAGCTCTGTTCGGCTGATCTTATACGAAGTATTCACTGGCGGCCATTGCTGTGTGCGCGACTGCCGAGGAAGTGCTGAGGGCGAGCTTCCTCAGTTTTTTTGAAACGTGCATTCCACACCATCAGCTCGTAACTTCAGGGCAGGGTCAGATTTAAGTTGAGAAGGGGGGAAAGGAGGCCGATTTGTCACGCACAGCCCACAAAGGCTTTTTTTAATGAAAAAATGACGCACATTATATTTTATAAACAAATGCCTCGTCCTTGATGAAACTGCAGTTATCGGCCGTGTCTGTGGCTTTAAATCTGCACCGACGCCACATCCTTTTACACCCCCCCCCCCCCCCCCCCCCCCAATTAAATCGGCCCCTGCTCCAGGATAAAAACCTAGTTGGGAAGAGGCCGGAAATGTGCTTAAATCATTAATTTGGTTACGGATATCTATAACGACATCTCCAGTTGACCTCGCAAAGTCATAAGGACTACGAATGACCTTATATTTTTTCGTTAAAGGAATCTGTTAAAATCGATATGACTATGAGAACAGTGCAGCGACACTGCACAAGACAATAGTACGCTTCAAGGCTTTTCATTTATGCATTCTTTCCAAGGAAATTCTAGATACGACGGGTGACTGTAAGGATATTTTTGATATCTCCAATGATCCAGTGCCCGGAACACCGGTAGCTCCGATACAAGACAGTAAGGTCTGACCGCGAGATTATGGAGATTGTCGCCTGGTTCATGTCTGAAGCAGTCTAAGAGAAAAGGAGTTCAACAGCTCTCCAAAGATGTCGTTTAATATTTATGTCTGGTTTTCCTAAGTTTTTTTTAGCGAGACTGCCACACTTACTTAAGCTGATGTCGATGTAAGAACGAATCATGATTAAAAAAGCCTGATGACGATAAGCCGCACCCTACGTTCATTAAACTGTCAGTGATTACAGTGATATTAATAATCATAATAAGCCCAGTTTTTTTTTATTCTCTCAGTGACCATAGTTGAAACGTACAATTACAATAAGCCTTAAGATAGTAGATACTGGTTAATAATGCAATTAAATTGCAAAGGTGCAAGCGAGCTGGACAAGTCTTGTCCAGCTCGCTGGCACTTTTGCAATTTAATTGCATTATTATTCATAACGTTAAATTGCAAGCTTTACTATTGTTGGTGTTAGACTGGTGGCAGCTGACGAAACCCGTTTGCTCTACTGACGTCTAACTTCTGGTTAGCTCAGTTATTAGAGCGCTTCACTTGTAATGGAGAGGTCCCGGGTTTGATACCCGGACCAGGTGAACTTTTTCGGTCGCTCACCAGTCACCTAGCTGTGTTTGGAGATTTGTGTTTTCCTTTATCTCTCTTGTTCCCCTTCTTCAGGGATTATTTTCGTCAAGGTAATGTGCACCGTACAGTTCCTTCACAATCACACTCCAGGAATGCGCAAATGTCAACCTGTTCTCTTTTTAAAGCAAGATTTTATTTTTGAAGCATGTACCTCGTGCCTCTGGTGGATTTTTCCGTACCTGTTAGTTTTGAAAGAAAAAAAATCTATTTTCATAGACTTGACTTTCAAAGGCGAAAGGCGCTGAATATTGTCTCGTGCGGCATAAACACAATCGACAGTATTTGTTGAGGACGTATAGAAGACAACAACAAAAAGACGCGATGCGTTATTTTTTAATATTTATTACTTTCCGAAGGTGTTCAAAGTAGCCGGGTGGCAGTAACGAGCGAGACAGGAACTGTCAGCCCTCAGAGAAGAGACGATGGATGAACCAAAGTGCGTGAGCTGAGAGTATGGGAGCAGGAGCCCGACAACTTTTCCGCCCGACCGCTTCGACGAGCAGCCCTAATTGGGCTCCGGAACTTCCGGTGCGTCTACACCCCGTCCAGGCCCAAAACTGACAGTGAAGTGAGAGCAGTGTAGTGTCTGCATGAACCCTTACTCAGCCCTGCTCTGCGAAACTGCGCTCTCTGGGAGAGAGTGTAAGGCACTCAGAAAACGCAGTCACGTGATGGGACGATTGGTTTACGAGACATGTGCACTCACTTCCACTGTCAACTTATAGATGAAGGAGGCTACTGTTAACTCAACGAAGATACTGTCGCCACCAGCCTACGAAAAGAAAATACTGCTTCATTTTTTTTTTATGTTCTGGCTTCGAAGTCCACTTTGAGGACAGGCTCGTCTAATGAAACCGTTCTTGGTTTACCGCCTGCTCCAAACCAGAGCCACCATTCTGACGCTGCCGGAGCAAAGTTTGTGTTGGTGATGGGAACAAGGGGATTTCTTCGAAGCCGTTAAACCCTCGTGTGTCCGTTTTAATGAACCGAAGCGCAGAACATATATAAAAAAAGAAAAAAAAATACACCTAAGCACTCCTTACGAGTTGTGAATGCGAAAGCAGGCAGGCCTGCGACGCATTCGATTCCGCCTCGCGTTGTTGAAGGGCCTCGTCTTCTTGCCGCCTTGGATGCTTTAAATCGCGATCCGCTTGCGCCTCACGCTTTCGAAAGGCCTTGTTCTGTCTCCTAGCGCGTTGCGCCGCTGCTCGTTCCGCCCGCCGTGAATTCGGAGACTTGACAACGATGGTGGATTTCGCTGTCTGCCTCTTCGCTCGTGCTGCGTTATTCCGCTCTCTTAGTTCGTCTGCGGTGTACTTGAGTGGACGAACAAGTTCAACCACTGCCGAGGTTGCGGCCGCCGACAGTGTAGATGCTCGAGGCATGGCATCCTACGGCCTGCCTCCCAACGTCTCGCTGACGGCGCTCGAACATGTTTCGCACATCTCGGATATGCAGATGACAGCGTTGGCAAAAGTCAGTCCAGGTACTATGGCTGCTTTCCAGAGTTCTCGTGTAACAACAAACCTGTTGCCGCTCCATAAATTTCGTTTGCGAAGAACGTTGGTGCCCCGTGTAGCTGCCTGTCGGAGATGTAGATGGTGCTCGGCCAAGTAGTCTTGCTTATTGGTGAGTGTAATACCCGGCGCGGGGCTCTTAGCGCCATGGGGTGGCGTTCCTTGAAACTATGACGCGCGCCAGCCAATGGGAGCCTCACTCCTTGAAACTATGACGCATGCCAGTCAATGGGAGCCTATCCATAAAATCACTGCAACAGACTACAGGCTTCGCTTCATTGGGACAGGGAAATTTAGGTGCCGTTTGGCACGAGGCTTCAGAAGCTGATAACGCCGGTTTGCAGTTCCGCCTGCGTTTATGGACAAGCGCATAAGACCGCCTGTGGAGTCTACGTTAGGCGCGCAGTTGCACCTCCGGAGTGTGGGGGCATGTCGTAAAGTATTTTACGGGTATACGTGCTGCTAGTCAAAAAGCGTACGATAGGGGGTTAAAATTTCGCCGCCGGATGTAAGAGACAGCGTTAAACGCGGTTAGTGAGACGACTAATGTTATATTTAAGCGAATAGCGCGCACAACCCATTACACACCAGTAATCCTGTAGCCGATTCAAAACAGCGAGTATTATATTACGCCAAAAAACTTTAGTTGCTTTCTAAGACAAGTATATGCACCATAAAGCGATGAGTACATCGCTCACAATGGACTAATAACTTAGTCTTATACCACGAAAGCTCTAACTTCTGCGTTAAAATTGAACGTCAGAGGTTAACAAACACGCAAATTAAGGGCTATAGAGGTCAGCTTACACCGCCTGAACAGACTGAAGCGAAGGGTATATCTGCATGTGAACATGACGCAATTGCCCACGCCCATTTTTGTGAACCCTGTGTCAACTAACAGCAGCATGTGGGTTCCTGCCCTGGAAGTCTGGTCGTAGAACTACAAATTTTTATTGTGCAGTTAAGAACCTCCAAGTTACA